GCGGAGCGGCTGGGTCCGTGAGCCATGGCCGCTGAGCCTGCGCGTCCGGAGCCTGTGCTCCGCAACGGGAGAAGCCACAGCAGTGAGAGGCCCGCGTACCACACACACACAAAAAAAACAAAAACTAACTCCCTGAATGAGAATTTGGCATATGCTCTGAAAGACTGTTAAAGACAGATTGAGGCATTTATATGGCTGCTACCTCCAACATGTTAAAATGAAAAATGGCTCAAGGCTTAGGGAAAAAAATTTTAAAGCTGTGAAAAGAGAAGTTAAGGGATAAAGGTGGCATCACAATAATCATTTAGGCCATATGCTTTCTTCATATGCTACTCTGAAAGCAGGCCAACAAAATAGCCATAGAAATGTTACTTTTTTTGGAATTTGAGCCACATTTCTTACCCATTATCCAAAAGGGTAGGAAACAGATCAATTTAGCAATGACCTAGAAAGGAGTACTTAGTTACCAAAACTTTAACTCAGTAACCATGCAATATATCAGACTGAAAATCCCTTAAAACAAAGAAAGAGATAACAAAAAGTGGCAGTTTTGGGGGATTATACTGAATTTATAGTTCTCTAAATTTGGCAAAAAGAATTCCTAGAAATAGAAGTTTTAGCAATTGCCTGATTTTGGTTAGCAAAGGTTACTTTTTTTTTTTAATCTAGCATATTGTTTTTTATTGTTGGTTGATTTCATTCATTGAATCCACACATTTATTTTCTGTTCTATTACATTAGATTTTTTTTTTACGGCAAGGACACTTAACATATGATCTACCCTCTTAAATTTTCAAATGTACAATACAGTATTGTTAACTAACAACACAATGTTGTACAGTAGATCTCTAGAACTTATTTATCTTGTATAACTAAAACTTGTTAAACAGCAACTCTCCATTTATTCCTCCCCCAAGTGCCTGGCACATCATTCTACTCCCTGTTTCTAGGACTTGGATGATTTTAGATACCTCATGCAAGTGGAATCATGCAGTATTTGTCCTTCCATGATTGTCTTATTTCATTTACCATGTCTTAGGCTCATCCATGTTGTCACATATGGCAGGATTTCTTTCCTTTTCAGGGCTTACTAATATTCCATTTTATGTATATACTACATTTTCTTTATCCATTCATCAGCTGATGGACATTTGGTTTGCTTCCACTTTTTGGCTATTATGAATAATGCTTCAGTAAACATGAAAGTGCAAATATGTTGAAAGACCTTGCTTTCAATTCTTTTGGATAAATACCCAGAAGCAGAATTGCTGGATCACATGGCAGTTTTATTTTTAATTTTTTGAGGATTCCCCATACTGTTTTCAGTAGCACTGTCCTACTTCTGTGTGATGTACCATTTTGTATTCCCACCAACAGTAGGAAGCGTCCAATTTCTCCACATCCTCCCCAACACTTGTTATCTTTTGTTTTTTTATAACAGCTATCCTAACAGGTGTGAGGTGATATTGAATCCACACATATTTACTGAGCACTTCTGCACTGTACCTCAACTATAGTTTTGTTGTACTTTCAGGAAACTTATTATGTTTTAATATACTTGTCAAATTTTACTAAATCTGGCAAGATATGAAACAACTTAATTCTCAGTTACTCTGGATAGAAATCATCTGTCATCACCAGAACACATATGTGTATTTTTTAGATAGCCAAGTACTAACTGTTGAGGGTACTAATAGGAATCTACAGATGCAAAGATAGTTACCCCTGTAATTATGAAAATACTCTATGGAATCTGAACCAAATGCTATGCCATGGATTAACAGCTAGATTCTTGAAGAGTCTTTTGAAAGACATCTGGTGCTTAAAGATGAAAAATACATTTCGTGCTTTAGTTTATCGATTATGTAGTAAGCACACTCCTCCCTTACCAGTAAAAGGAAAATCTACCCAAGTGCCTAAAAAGAACAAGGACGTTAACATCTCTTTGGCTATACAAAATGGTAATTTTTTAAATTCCAGATTTTGAAGGGTCTTTCAATTTAAGAGTTTTCTGTAAATTCACAGGAATTGGTATGTAGGGAAAACTCTGACTGGATGGGAGGGGTGATTAGATAGCTCAAAGGATCTATTTATTGCAGATTATGTATTGGCAAAGCTTCCCAGGTGGAATGATGAGTTGTTGGTTCTATGATTCACACTTCCCAAATGTACAACACTAGAACATGAACTGATAGCATTCCATTACTTACAGAAAACTAAGATGGTAGGAAATAGCCAAAGGTCACATCAGAGCATCATAAATGTGCAGCACTGCCAGTAATACTTCTGCTCCTATCCCAATCTACCCTTCCCACACCTCACACATCTTAGCCATTATAAATTCAAATGGATTAATAAGCTCTTCCTTCAAAATCAAGTATCAGGCAAATGAAGTCTACCACTCACATGAATTACCAGAAATAAATCAATATATTTTACAGAAAGTAAAATTGAGAACCTGTGATATTAAGTGACTGAACCAACACATAATGTCAGCTGGAAGAATACAGAGTTTTTCAATCACACCAAGCTACTGACATATGAAAGGAAAGTTTCTTTCGTGAATTAACAAATAGAAGGACAAATTTGGAAAAAGGGTTTTCCGAGGAAGGTGGACCTAAGAGAAATCTACAAATGTCAAAATAGGAAGCTTTTGTTAGCTAAGCCAGCATGGCCATGGCAGGTAGGACTGCTTGATAAGACTTAAACACAAGTGGGGAAAGCGTCTAAAAGAAAAGGTTCTCACCATGAAGAAAGTGAAAACAACTCACAGAATGGGAGAAAATTATTGCAAAAAATATATATGTTAAGGGACTTATAACTAGAATATAGAAAAATCTCTTACAACTTAATAATGAAAAAACAAATAATTTAAAAATGGGCAAAGGATCTGAATTTCTCCAAAGATAATATACCAATGGCCAGTATAAGCACACAAAATGATGCTCAACAACATTACTCATTGGGGAAATGCAAACCAAAACCACAATGAGATATCACTTCAAATCCACTTGACTGGCCATCAGAAAGACGGACAATAACAAGTACTGCTGAGTTTATGGAGAAATCAGAACCCTCAAGTGATAATGTAAAATACTGCAGCTGCTTTGGAAACAGTCTAGCAGTTCCTCAAAAGGCTAAACATAGAGTTACCCTATGATCTAACAATTTCATTCCTAGGTAGTTACCCAAGAGAAATGAAAACATAAGTCTACACAAAAATTTGTACATGAACATTCATAGCAGAAATATTATTAATAGCCAAAAAATGGAAACAACATAAACGGCCATCAACAGATGAAATAAAATGTAATATATCCATACAATAGAATAGTAATAGACTATAAATGACATTGAAGTACTGATGCATGCCGCAACATGAATGAACCCTGAAAACAGAATGCTAAGTGGAAGAAGCCAATCACAAAAGGCCACATATTGTATAATTCCATTTATATGAATTGTCCAGGACCAGCAAATCTATAAAGACAGAAAACAGATTAGGGTATGCCTGGGCTGGTGGATATAGTGAGGACTGGGGGCAGGGAGAGTGACTGCTAAAGGGTACAGTGCTTCTTTTGGGAGTGATGAACATGTTTTAAAATTGAATTGTATGGAATGTGAATTTTTATCTCAATAAAGTTCTTACAGAACAAAAAGAAACAGAAAAGATCCCCAACGTGGTATTTTCTGTGGCAGTTAATAACTAGCAGGCATCTCTTTAAGTAGGAAATTTTAAAGCAATGGTCAGGTGCCCAAACAGTTAAATTACTAAAATGGCAACGTGTGAACTGGCTTTGGATGCTATGATAACGGTTTGGAAATTTGGCACAGGTGGTAGTAGACACTCAATAATATAAAGGATGGTCTTTGCCCTAAATGCAGAAATGAGCTAACAAAGGAAAAATCCACCTAATATTATACAGCTGAATAAGAGAGAAAATCAGTTCAGAGGCCTGGTAAGTGACTTCTGATGGAGTAGACTTCATTGAAGTAAATGTTGGCCCTTGATAAACAGCGGGCTGTGGAGAGAGGATGCAGATCAGTGGGGAAAGAGTTGTTCCTGTTCAGGGGTCCATGATTTGACCACTATGGGGCAAAAGGGGAGATAAAAGAGAGAATGAACACAGTAGTAAGGGGCATAGTGTGTAAACTTTATTGGGATAACAAAGCCATCCCTAAACTAAGACTGAAAGGGCCATTTTCCATCTCGCAAGTGTCTCTTAGAAATAAAATGCTAAAACTCAACGGGCTAACGCTGCCTTACGAAAGAAAATTAAAATCACACCAGATTGATGCCTCTAGCGACTGAGCTCATCTCACGTCTTAAAAAGTGCAATAATCACTCTGCACAGCCTTGGAAATTAAGGCTACCAAGAAGTTCCCAGGTGGGTGTCGGGGATCTAACGTACCTCGAGTCACCTGAAGGAAGAGGCGACGCGAAGGCATCCCGGGGACTGCGTTTTTGCAGGTAAACCCGTTTAGGGCGCTCCCGCCGGGAGGCTGCCTGCGGTCCGAACGCGGAGGCAGAAGAGCTGTGGCGGCCGGGGCAACCAGCTTACCGCGGTGACGTCTCGACCCGCTCCCCGTTTCCATGGCTAACGTCAACTCCAGCGGGCGCCACCCGGCGCGGAACGGAGCTCGCGTGCTCTGGGGAGGGCCGGGCGCTCCGCTCGCCCCGCCCCTTAGCCTGAGGTCGCGTCTGGGCGTCCAGCCTCCGGCCCACCAGGCGAGGCCGAGCGCAGGGAGAGGCGCGCTTCGTCCGCTCCCAGGCCCGGGCCAACACTCGCCTGGCCGAAAACCTTGGGAGTCGCTTGGGTTCCAGCCTCGCCTTGGGCCCAGACGCGGCGCCAGGGTTCGCAGCGTCAGGGTTCGCAGCGTCAGGGTTCACAGCGTCAGCCCTGAACTTTCACCCGCGTCGCGCCCTTACGCAAGAGCGTCGTTGCCCTGGTGACGTGACGTTCCTCTGGGGTAGTGCTCTCTGGTGGATAGAGGCGCGGCCGCCATTTTTAGAGCGTGAGGTGCCCAGTGATCCGACTGACGAGTCCCGGCGTAGTGCGACTCCAGCCGCTCAGGGTTCTGCGACGTACATTAACTACAGCCGCACTTTGGCCGTCACCACCCAACACACCGACGGTAATAAATGCTTTTAAGTGATACTTCATACATATACGTGTTCGCTGTCGCCCCTTTATTGCATTTCCCCCCCATGATTGGATTTGTGACTGTATTTTAAATACTAGGAACCAAAATACCCATAAGTGAAACATGCCACTAAAGTATCTGTTTATTAATAAAATAAGGCAAAGTTACAGTGTTCCATCAAAAACAAAACAAAACAAAAAAACTGGTAGACTATTATTGTGGTATTAATTTCAGGGCCGGGAATCTTTACAGGGTGCCCGCGAAGTCCCCAGTTTTGCTAGTTTAAAAATTAAACGCATGCCCATCACCCACTGCCTCCATTTTCCACCAAGTTTCATTGCTTCTCCAAGTTCTGGACACCTTCCAAGTTGCCAGTTGGGAGCCCAGGAGGCGGCCCCTGAGATCTTTAAATTGGTCTCTGACGATTTAGAGGTACGTGTACCGGAACGTTGAAGCCAATTTGTCGGTATCAAGGTACCCGAGTTTTCCCACGTGATTGATAACTTAGCAGTTCTGCATACACGAGACTTCTGATTGGCTTGAGGACCGTCTTTAGATAAGGATCTCCTTAACTAAAAACTATGAATGCGCCCTTTTTTGTTTCTTTTGTGGCTTTACTGAAAATGATGGCTTAGTTCTTAAGCACTTAGGTTTTCAAGCCATAATGGGGAAAACCTTTTGGTATTAATCAAAAGAAAGCCAAGGCTTATAAAAAAAGAAGATATAAATCTATCTAGAGGAAAAATGTAGTTTGTTGAAAGCATATGGAAGAAAACTCTGGGTGCCATCCATGACAATGAGGTACATATATACTTGCTTTCAACGATACAATTTGCAGATAGGACTTTTCCTAGTTTGATGTTAAGAGGAAATGTGTATTTGGTCCATCCCTAATGTTTTCCAGTCTTTTGGGGAACGTCAGTCATCATGGGTCACGGTACCACATTAAGCATCTTTGAAGCATCAGCTACCACTAGGAAGTCAATATAGAGTGGTTAAGAGTAGAAGCTCTGGGGTCTGGAAGCCTGAGTTAGAACTACTGGGGCCTGGGCAGGCCACCCCAAAATATTCCACAGTGGCATATTGATTATTTTGAATTAAAGTTACTTAAGGAATAGCGGATGCAAGAGGGTCCTTTGAACCTCCTCTCAGTCTCCCTGAAACCAAGGAGCTCCTATGTGAAAGTTACCCTCTCTGTACCCTCCCAGTATTCTACATTTTTAAAAAAGTTGAAATCACAATATTGGAATTGAATGCCAAGATTTGGATATTAGTGGCTGCAAAGAAAAGCATCAGGAGAGAAGACGAAAGGGACTATAAAATGATTGATTTCTTACATGGCTTGTTGAAATTCATCTCATTGCATTTATATCACAGATCGTGATATGCATGTAAATGTATACAAAGGCCAAGTGAATGGGCATATGATGGGTAGAAATTTTAGTATGTTCCAGCATATTCACAGGCACTTGAGTTGGGTGACATTGGGTTATGAGGATATTAAAGACAGGGAGTGACCACTTGTTAATTGTAAAGTTTCATACTGAAGCGTCCTTTATTATAGAAAATATCTCATACCACACAAACATTCATAAGTAGAACAAATAATGTATAATATAATCATAGCTTTGCCATTAATTGGTTTTAAGCTTTGTTATAAAAGACAATCTATTTTAAATTACAGTTCTGAAAATCTTACAGTAATTCCTGTAGGGTGAAAGGATAGAGTTTCTCAGGTTTTGATTTTGATGAAGAAATTTGAATTTTATTGTGTAGCTTTTAAATTTAATTATTTCACATCAGTAACTCCATAGATTAGATTTTTAATTCTAGAGGTGTTTCAATTATTATTTTAGAAAGTTATCACCACTGGAACTTACTTTACATAGTCATTTAAAAAGGAACACAAAATTATTAGTAGCCTGGAAATCACTAAATTGCAGTATTTAAAAGGCTAAAGTTTCATTTTTTAAAGTTATGTTACATTTTGTAAAAGTTTGTGAATATAACTTCACTGAAAGATCAAATTTTAAGCGTAACCAAACTCTGTAAATATCCCCAGGCATATTTACAATTTCACTCTTTACAAAAATTAAGTTACATGCAGATCTGAATAACAATGATTCCCCTTTATTTTGGCATATATAAATAAGAGTTGACTCTGCAGATTTCATAGTCTTTATCCCCCGTGTCCTGTATTAAGTTTGGAGCATCAGTTAACCTCTTCTGTTGACAGTGTTACCAAGAAAAAGATGTCTTATTATTAGTAACCTTAATTTCTAATGCTAGAACTGAAGTTAGTAACCTCAAGTTGGTGTCCTTTTCCTGGCATTTGCCTGCTAACTTCTTTGTTTATAAGTGTACCAATTGTTTAGAATTGTGTGAACATTATTTTTACTTTCCTATAGAATGAATATATAAGGAAATGCATTAAACAGTTTGCCTGATAAAATTTCTGTTTGAAGTTGTAATTAAATAAGAATGTGGCGGTGGGGGAAGGTTAGGTGTAATTTGCCTAAAGGTAGAAGAAAGCTTATATACCCTCTCATAATGTCTCCAGACTCATGATACTATTGCTGTTGAATGGAAAAGTCCACACTGGTTAGAATTACTTCTTAGAGCTTGCATTGTGATGCCCTCTTCAGGTTAATATATTTAAAAACATGAAAATTGGAGGTTACTCACAGATAAATAATTTAGGGGATATGAAACCACATTTGGCAAGTAAAATTATACAAAAAATATAAATAACAACAACAATATCAACAATAACCAGCTTTGGTGGGATAGCAGTTTAGAGGGACGTTTTGAAACTTAGCTTGGCTCCATCTAGAAATTTTAAATGCAATTCTCTTTGACAGAGAAATTTTATCTCTAGAAACATACCTTACAGATACCTTCCTTTACAGATATCTCACCTAAGTAGGTAGCAATATTTGTACAAAAATGTACTTAAAACATTTGCAATAGCAAAATGCAAAACATTCTTAAATAGGGAACAGTTTTAAATAAATTAATTTAAAAAGGATGTACACCTACATGTACTGCTATGCAAGCATGTCCAACTTATATTAAGTATGAAATTTTTAAATTACACTACAGTTTGTATAGTATGATCTTATGTAAAAACTAGATGTATGCATGAGCATGGTTTGTATAAACTTATCTTTAATGGACACATAGGAAACGATGATAGAATTCAACCTCTGAAGAGGTAAACTGGGGGTTTTTTTGTTTTTTTGCGGTGTGCGGGCCTCTCACTGTTGTGGCCTCTCCCGTTGCGGAGCACAGGCTCCGGACGTGCAGGCTCAGCGGCCGCGGCTCACGGGCCTAGCCGCTCCGCGGCATGTGAGATCTTCCCGGACCGGGGCATGAACCCGTGTCCCCCTGCATTGGCAGGCGGACTCTCAACTACTGCACCACCAGGGAAGCCCATCTGGGGTTTTATAGGAAGGGGACTTTTACTTTACTCTTACGCTGGTAATTTATTTTTAACAATCAATATGTATTGCGTTTATAATCTTTAAATCGTAAAATAGCCAACAAACAAAAATAAGTTGACAATCAAAAACACCCCCCCTACCCTTCCCCAAACTCCACCAAGCTGCTGTATAACCAGAAAACTGGCACAGTGGATTTTTGTTTTTATAATAATACTTGTAATCCAGAAAATAATTTGAAAAATGTAGTTGCTAGTTTCTGTGAATAAATGATTACAGTATTGATGCTTTCATAGGGAGAAAAATGCTATTTTTTAGTGTTATATTACAGTTAAAAGTTACAATAAGTCATTTGGTATACTGGTAAATTTTGAGCTCTGATCGTCAGAGACTGCTTAAAATCTTGACCACTTCAGAGTTACATCGATAGGAATCCTTAAAGTTAGTTCATTTTATGCTAAATGAGAACATTTACTGAATTTATGTATACATTCTCAAAATTATTAGGGTTTCTTTCTAATGTTGGGTATAAAATCCTAATTTTAGTATATATGTAAAATATACACAGATTAGTGTATTCATACACATATATACATAAAATATACATATCAAAAGTATCTGTTATATATAACATATAAAATAAAATACATGATAATCCTGTTTTGTTGAACCAGCAATGACTAGGTATTAATGGAAAAAATTTTCATACGTGGTTTGTCTTTAGCAATATAATTTTAAAGCACAACAATTTTTAATAAAATTTATGCCAGTAATTTAAAAAAAATTTGCCAGAGGTGCTTTTTAGGCTCTTGGTTTAAACGAAAACCAGTGTATAGAAATGAATATCGGAACAATCATTAATCCTACTGCATTAAAAAAAACTCTGTCTATAAATTTCAAGCCAGTAACATTCATGTTTTTACATAGAAATTTTCCTCCTAAAAGACTTTGTAATTAGTGGAAAATGTATATACCAGTAAAGAGCAGCGTGCAAGAAAGAGATGCATTTACTTGTAGAAATAACCATATGTTAAGAAACAATGAGGGCTTCCCTGGTGGCAGAGTGGTTGAGAGTCCGCCTGCCGATGCAGGGGGACACGGGTTCGAACCCCAGTCCAGGAAGATCCCACATGCTGCGGAGCCGTTAGATCCGTGAGCCATGGCCTCTGAGCCTGCGCGTCTGGAGCCTGTGCTCCGCAACGGGAGAGGCCACAACAGTGAGAGGCCCATGTACCGCAAAAAAAAAAAAAAAAACAATGAATCATTTTTGTTTGTGGTTTTTATATAAAACTTGTCTGTGGATTCTTTTTTCCCTGTGAATTTTTTCCCTTATAACTTTTTCTCCTGGCAACAATAATGAATAAAATTTTAGAGATAAGCTTTATTTTAAGGGCATAAGGGCATATATGCCCTTCCTAACACATGTAATACCAAACAAATACTCATACTCTCTACTGAAAAAATCAAATGAAACTCCCCCCACTCTCCGCCAAATGGCCCAGTTAGAATACAGTCGTACACTCTGAATTCTACAATCCAGTATCCCTGGGC